GTGATCTACTATATATATATATATATATAATTTATATATACTTATATACTTACCCAATTCCCTACAGAGAAAAGAATTAAAAAGAAAAAAGAACATTTGTAGAATACTTTAGCAGCTGCTCCTATAACCCATCAGAACTCAGTCCTGCTACTTATTCTTGCAGAGCTCCACAGTTCCTCTTATCTTCATTGCTGTCCTGAAGAATTACTGAGGAAGAGTTATCTCCTATCTCTGACCCCAGAAGAAGAAACAGAATTATTTAGGAAAGCTGGCATCTATGAAGATGATAGTCACCTAGTTAACTAATCATTGGTTCCCACAAAAAGTCTCATCTGATAAGAGACCCAGAGAAGAAAGAGAGAGAGAGAGAGAGAGAGAGAGAGAGAGAGAGAGAGAGAAGAAATGAGAGCGTTTACACTACCATTATATGCTCATCCACCATTTTTCCCAGGCTTTGCTGACTTGATCCTAAATTAATGAGCCTGTTACATGATATCTAATAAAAAATGACTGGAGCAAAGATACTGCTTGGGAAATGCCACATACTTGGTGCAAGGCTGAATCAATTTCATCTCTATTTAACACATGCTTGTTTTCTGTCTCTCTTGTCTTCTTGCAGCTCATGTCTCACCTTTTTTTTTCCATCTGGGAAACTTATCTCCTAACATGCTACCATCAATCAGCCAAAGACACTTCCCGACAGAGCGTCTGCCAGGATGACTGAGCACAAGTAGTCACTAGTTTGGGGAAGCCTCCCACACTCCGTAGAGCTGTGTGTTTTTCTAGCCTGCCTAACCACATAAGCGCAATTTGGGATATTTATACTAAGCTCCAGTTTCTACTGAGATAATAGCACTACTTTTACACAACTGAGCATAAGGTATAGTGTGGGTCACCATGGAATAGTAGGGGACAGAAATTGTGTATGTTGCCTTTCTACCTACTTTAACATTATTTCTTTGGATTTTACATTTCTACTCATTTTGATTTGCTCTGACTCAGTGCTTGGCCCCAAAGAATACAAATCCAATGCTTAGAATGCCTTCGCTGATCATTGCAGCCACGCACATTTTCTAGTCTTTTATGTCAATATTATTTCTAATACAGTCAAACCTCTAAGCTTAAATTTTGAAGCATGAAAGGAGAAAGAAAAAAGGGTAAAAGTGGGGTTGGCCACAGAAGCCCCAAACTGGTGGCAAGGAAGGAAAGAAGAGGGAGCAGGAGCCAAGCTGTGCCATCTCCCACAAAGTTCCAGTCGTGTAGATACCCGCTGGCCACAGCACAAGGGGCTGTGCGTGGGCACAGGTGGGTCCCAGCCTCTCTGGCTGGATGCGGCTTAAGCACTGAGCCTGAATGGAGACCTTCATTGCTGTTTGCTGTTTTTGTTGGCCAGTAGCCATGGCAAACATTTGCAGGTGGCTTGGCCAGATTTTGACACTTAAATACTTGAGGTTGTGATAAAAATCAGAATATTACTACAATATGGTTCTGTGCAGCCTCACACTCATAGAAAAAATATAGAATAAGAAAAAAAAAGCTATCTGCAATTTCAAATGCTCATTTAAAGACACAGTCTCCAGAGAAAACTCATGTTTTAAAATAAGTATTCATTTCCTCTTTGCTGAGAGAAATAAAAGAGTCAACTATCCCCAAATGTTACCACCTAGAGTTTTATACTAAGTGCACTGGTGAGATGGGCTGGGTTTTTTCTTGCTGAGCCCCCATGATCATCCGGGCACAGTTCTGGATGGGTCACAGGGAGAAAATGGAAATGACAGATGTATTGCTTTGAATCAACATAGTAAGCACAACAGGGAAGAATTTGAAGAAAAGGAATAGCCTCCTTCAAGCTTGGCAGTGAAATAGAGTTCTAAAAGTGACAATTATCTCCTAGAACACTCTAGGAGAGACATGTAACACCCCGAGTTGGGAAATAAATGGGAAGAGGGAGTGTGTTGAGGGGGTCATGTGTACCAGAGAAACACCCCCATCCATCCAGGCAGATTGACATAGCCTACAGATGTCACCCAAATGTACAGTCTCAGGCCAGCTGGGTAAATTATTGACAGAGTCAACACCCACCTTAAAATTTAGTGCTAACCCTTAAAAGACTGTTCCATAAAAACCAGCGTTGTAGGAACAATGGGTGAATGCTAAGGGCCTCCAACAGGGTAAATGGTGAGGGTGGAAGGGCAGGCAGGAGAACTCCAGGGGGGAAGGAATGCTGTAAAACTGCTAGTAAACTCTGGCACATTTTATGTTTTTTCTCCTTGAAAGAAAAATAAAATATTTATAATTAGCTTGCCTAGCTGTGAATTGTCTACCCAAAGCCAGGCCCCTAGAGTGAAGGAGTCCCTTGAAAAATTTGGATGTTGTCTTTAATGAATCCATCCTGCCCTTAGCAGGATGCATGCGTGGGTTCTTACTCTAGATAATGGCAACTTTTACTTTTAGAGTCATAAGAAGAAAAGAAATTTTTACCGAAGATCCTTGCTTATTTAGCATGGGCTTCTTTAAACAAAGCCAAACAACCAATGGCCAGCCTAACTTTCAGTTTCTTGAATGGGAAATCAAAGGTACCTATGGAAAACTCAGAGAACAGTCATTGCCTATGGCTCACATATCTTAAGGTGTCACAACCCATCCTGATGAGCTGAGAAATGTGAGACACAAGGAACTCATTCCAGAACATTCTGAGGGATAAGCCACTGCTCACTGTTGATTTGGAATTCTAACCAACGTGAGCAACAAGGTGGATGGGCACAATGACAAACTGTGGAGCAGCTTTTAAATTTCTTTTTAAATCATCATAAACAATAATCAACTGAAAGGTCAAACTGAATTCTGATGCTTATACTAAACACAGCGAGCTCCACTTCTCTTTTAAGTGATGATTCTGGGAACACAGAGTAACCAGTTGTCAGCATCCAGCTAGACACATTTATTATGGCTTTTTGGCTTAAGTGATGACCTTTTCTTCCTAAGAACGCACGTACATTTTCAATCCTTTATTTCGTCTTTACTGTTCTGAGGTTAGAAAGAACAGACTCCATCTTTACTCTGGAGATAAAGAAGCAGGGTCAGAAATTTTGCATTTCTAAAAATTGCTGGGTGATCCCCATGTAGGTGATGCTCAGATCAGGCACTCTGCCCAGCAAGAGGCTGGGGTATTACCCCCAGGATACTAAGGCCGGAGAGCAATTTCCCATCATACCATATGATATACGTGCCTGGATTCAGTGACGGGACGCCACCATCAATTTTTCTTCAGTGCCTCATTATTGTGCTTTTACATAAATGAGAGGAAGGGAGCCTGCTTCCTGGGTTTTGTCTGCTCTAGGAAAGAGCATGGACCTAAGCAGAGGGAAGGGACAGCTAATAATTTTTTTTACAAAGAAGGGTCAGAGGTAAGAGACTGTGGAAAGACAGAGAATACAGGTGACGGCCTGAGCAGCTCCTAGGAAGGCAGGGCACACGCAGGCGGCAGGCAGGCTGGAGAACTTCCCTCCACCATTGTCAAGCACTTGTCCTGAGAACTCTGTTCCGGCCTCCATAACAGGCATAAATTTGCCTACGATCATCTTAAAGTTCACAAATCCTCTCTGAAGACATGAGGACACAGAATGACTTACTCTCCCCCATTTCCAGGATCAAAATAGCTTCCAACAAACTGAGACTCCCTCTCTGCTCTCATCGAAAGCATCACTCCGAGCTCTCAGCTATATCACTTCGGCAAGGAAAACCAACAAATCTGAGTACCAGAAACAAAGAGAAAGTCCAGAGTGTTCTCTGAGCCCCAGCCAGAGGCAGCCAAGGGGATTTCCTTACCCAATCTGGCGGTTGGTGGAAGGTGCCTGCGTGATGACAGAGCTGGACTGGGGCGACGGCATGGCTTGCTGAATCACAACGCTGGTATCGTGGTTGGGCATCCGGGTGCTGCCAAGCTGGTGAGCTCCAGGCCCCGTCATGGCCCCACCGACTGTATTATGCATTGAAATATTCTGCCCAAAGAAGACAGAGGAGAAAGGTCAAGGGGAGGCAATGTTTCATGCTCCCAAGCTCTCCAAGGCCAAAACTGGGAATCTGGTAGTGTCAACTAAATAGAAAGTTATGGCTTCTGGAAAGCCTTGGGCCCATTCGTCATGTTATAGCTTACAGCTATGAGGAGATGAAAAATAACTATTCACCCTCAGAGTAAAACACAAAAGAAATGCCTTGAAGTCTGCTTATCACTCTGCCGCCATCCTGAAGTTAGGTTTACATCAGGGATATTTAGTGCATACCTTTCCTGACTCAGTGTAATATATAGTGCACTGAAAAGTGATTTCTGAGGTAAGTGTATAACATGTGATTTAGCAAAGTCAGTTCTGTGTCCTGTTTCAAATGACAATCGCGCTGGATTACATTTTGCTTCTTATTAGTCCTAGAAGAGTGGCCAATATGTTTTCTCCAGGAAACTACTACTTTTCCAAATTGTTGTATAGGTACTTAACAAGCTGTGGAATGGGGATGATTTGAACAGATGAAAGGGCATCTGAAATCTGATGACGAAGAAAAGTTGCAGCATTCTATTGTATTTCCATAAACTCAGCCTCTAACAATTACACGAAACAATGGAATACAGGACTGTGATGCTTGTCCGCTTCCGTGATTACTATCTTTTCCTCTAGAATGTAGAAGGCCTATACTCTATCCCGTAGTAGTTGGAGCAGAGTAGACATTTGATAAACACCTATCATCTGAATAATTTAATGAAGGAACCAGTGAAACATCAGAGTTACTTAAAGGAACTTGAATAGGGACTCCTTTGTTTAAACTTTTAAATACAAGCCAAAATACAAAATGTAACTGTGCCAACCCTCAAATGGCTGAGGCAAAAGGAGAGGGAGTTTTGGGCCAGCCCAGGCTACACAGTGAGTTCAAGGCTAGGCTAGATGACACAGCGAGACACTGTTTTTAAAAAACTGATTTAAAAAAGTTCTTGCCGGGTTGGCGGTGCACGCCTGTAATCCCAGCACTTGGGAGGCTGAGGCAGGAGGATCCTGGTGAGTTTGAGGCTAGTCTGGACTACATAAGTGAGTTCAAGGCCAGCCTGAACTGCATAGTGAGACCCTGTCTCAAAAAAAAAAAAAAAAAAAAAAAAAAGAAAGAAAGAAACAAACAAACAAAAATAAAAAATAGTTCTTGTTAGAAAAGAAATTCACTAGGACAACAACGGACATGAACACTGATGGAGAACAAGAACTGACTGATGCACTGCAGCTGAAATAAGATAAAGATTTTCAGAAGCCAGTAAAGAAAGAACAAGTGCATGGCCAACTGAAGTAACAGGGAAGGGCAGTAAGAGAGTCTCTGTGGACAGCTAGGTATGG